GAGAGAGAGAGAGAGAGAGAGAGAGAGAGAGAGAGAGAACCCACATGTGCTGATCCTTTTTATTGAAGAGAATCCATTCAAATGAGGCAAGGGGTCAAGTTATAAGGGGCTGAGTCTAGCTTCATGATGTCCACTGTCAGCAGTTTGACTGATATCTAGGAAGGCCATACCCAAGGGCACAGTAAGAGAAGGGCACTTCCATGGAACATTGTTATCCCAAACAGGGCAAGGGGTAATATTACAAAGGAACAGGTGAGCATAGGTCTACCCATGGGGATGTAGGAAAGCATGCCCATGCATGAAGACACAGTCGCTCGCACCCTAGAAGACCAGGGCTGTCCAGATCACAGCATGACTGCCAGGTGCCACACCGGGCAGCAGGGGAGTCAGACACAGTCATGTGCTAGTTCTGCCTCCCACACTGCATATTCTCCACTGCCTAAGAGAATGAAAATGACCAAAAGTGTATATCTGATCCTGGGGAAATAAGAGACATTGGACTAAGAGGTCCCCATGGACACTGGGTGTTTGAAGTAGCAATGGCTAATGGGCTTCATTTAATTATTTCTTGTAAACCTCCAATATTGTCCTTTCCCTTCTCCACAGCCATACTTGAAAAGATAGGTTTTGGTTTTGTAGAATCATTCCACTTAAAATCATCTCCATAAATTACCATGAATATCCCCTTTTCAAAGGATAGACAAGAATGAGACTTGCTTTTTTCAGTTGAATTGAGATTTTTTGCACTGGGTTAGTAGGAGTGTGGGCACAGGGATAGGATTAAACACATTACAGGGGAATTTATGGATTACTGAAAACTTGGAAATTCTTCTTTCCAGATTCAGACATCACAATTCTCAGCTCATTGGCAGGAAAGGCCAGAGAACTATGAGTGAAATGCTCTGAGTCACAGATTTTTCTTCCATTATTACTACAACAGATCCTCTCTACACTTCTTTTCCAAAGCAACATCTATATACTTGGGAGATAAATTTAACCCTGTGTTGGCAAATTAATGTTGAATGCAATAAAATATTAATGCATATTTATTATGGTAAAATGTTTTGGTGGTTTAGGACTCAGACCAGGATGGTTGTTCCATGATCTCCCACACCACATTAACTGTTATTCACACACCAAACTGGCTTCATAAGAGACAATAGACTAGGTGAGTGCCTGCTTTTACTATGGTAAAAAGAAAAGACACATGAATGAGGAAGAAAGATCAGAATTGCCCTTTCTCCAACCTCAAGCAACCTAGCATAAAGAAAAATGCATTCTTGAAGAATTAAAAGGGAATTAAGCCCAGACCTTAGACTTGAAACTCAGGACTAGGCCTTCCACAGTGAAACCTGGTGCCCAGCAGAGCCTAACAACCCTATCCCCATGCCAGTAACCTCACATTGAGACTCTGGAACTGTATTTTGTTGGGCAGCAAAGAGACTGTCTCTACCACCAGTCCTCCAATCTCTAGCAGAAGAGGGGAAAGCAAGACTTTCTAAGGATCCAGGCACAGTGCTGGCACAGCACTTTGTCTTGGAGTTCAGTGCCAGGCCTACCATGATAATACCCAGCACTGAGTAGGAATTAGAGGCCTCAAACATAGACTAGAAGTAACTGAGCAAGACCTGTGTGCTGGTGAGACAGACTCAAGAAGAGCCTGCAGCACCTGTGGCTGGTTACAGGAGTCTGGAGCCTTGAGTCCACCTTAGCAGTAGGTAGCTCATAAACTGAGGGCCTTGGTCCCTCCCCACTTCTGAGTTACCTCAGCAGGCTGTGGCTTCAAGGTGTGATATACCATTGCACCATTATTGGCCACAGGACTTCCCACCTCATTCCTCCTCAACCCCTGGTAGCACAATAAGAAGAGAGTTAGTTGTCTGCTTGAAGGTGAAAAGTTATTTGGGCGGTTGTGATTGGGAGCCTCAGGTTCTTATCTCTATCTATTATAATACAGCTGTCAAGGGTGAAAGATAAAGACTCTCAGACATCAAGAGAAAAAAATAAAACAAACAAATAACATATAAGGATGTCCCAGTTCTCCTGCTGGCAGACTTCTCAATGGTAAACATATAGGTCAGAAGTGAAATGAAGAAAAACCTGCCAACCAAGAATACTGAATCCAGAAAAATCTATCCTTTAGAAATAAAGGAGGTACAAAGACATTATCAGACATCCTGCCCCCCACCAAATTACCATATGATATAGCAATCCCAATGCTGAGCATATGTCAAAAGGAAGTGAAATCACTATGTTGAAGAGACATCTGTACTCCCATGTTTATGGCAGCACTATTCATATTAGCTAAGAAATTAAAATAATCTAAATGTCCATCAGCTGATAAATGGATAAATAAGTGAAATACAATGGGATACTGTTTAGCCATAAAAATGAAATAAATCCTTTCATTTGAGATAACATGCATGGGTCAGGAGATCACTAAGTTAAGCGAAATAAGTCAAGCAAAGAAAGACAAGTATCTTATAGCCTCACTGTATGTCAAATATGTAAGAGTTGACCTCATAGATGTTGAGAATAGAATTGTGGTTACCATAGACTAGAGAGTGTAGGGAATGGGAATGGAAGGCAACAGACTGATCAATGAATRATGGGTTTTACTTAAATAAGTTCTGGTGCACTGTGGCACAGGAGGATGACTATAGAAAACAATCATGAACCACATTTCAAAAGCTAGAAGAAAGCATATTGGAATCTTTCACCAAAAAGAAATGAAAAGTTTTTCAGGAGAAAATAAATGCAACATATACATGTGTCAGCATATGAATTTACTCCATTAATATGTACACTATGTCATTAGGTATCACTTAAAATAAATTTGAAAACTAAGGAAAATACAAAGGTGATATGATATGGGGAAATTATTTATATCTGATGGAAACAATGATACAAGAAGAGTATATTGGAAGGTAAGTTTGAAAAGAATGGGACATGGAGAAAAAAAATTTTGTGATAGAAAAATCTTACAATATCTGAGGGATGGCCTTGGTGGGTTGACAAAGAGCACCTAAGAATTACCTCAGCATCACTTAAGACCCTGGTGTGGGATGAGCAATCTGTGTCCATTTGTGTGAATTTTGTATATCCCTCTGGCACAAAAGGAGAAAAATGATTTGCAGGAGTGACTTAAAGCTCAGGTATTGAGAAGGTCAGAATAGAGGAAGAAAATGTCCATTGGATGATACTTTCATAAGAAGATTGAAACGTGCCCAAGGAAGCAATATATCTATAGAGCAAGAGATCAGACAAGGATATATATGACTGCAATTTTTAATTTACTCGAGTGAGAATGATTCCTATGAATCAATAGATTTCTGAAGATGCAATTTTTCCTTCTTTTTCCACTCAGTGACTCACAAACTGCCTCAGTCCGGCTACAGCAAAATAAGGGGGGGGGGGGGGGGCAGGGGGTGACGGTGACGAGCAACTTGTTTAGATTGATACAGCAGGAGTGGGAGCCGTTTATTGTAGGACAACAGAGATATTTATACATTCCACACAGCTTATCTTAATTAGCATAAACTAGATACAGCAGTCAACCAATAAGAAAACTTAATGGCTCGCTGGTGCCACCTCACAAACCACTCCCCCTGGCAAAATACCAGGCGCCATCCTGACTTGTTTACAGACCCTAACATTTCTCTGGCAAAATGCCAGGCACCATCCTGACTGGTTTACAGACCTTAACAACAAACTTCAAAGGACTTAAAACTGGTCTTCTCCCCACTAGATGTAAAGCTCTTTAAATATACATACGCAGCACCTAGAAACATTTCTGGAATGTGGCAAATTCTGAAAAGATGTTAGTATTGTAAATAAGAAAATATAGAAGCATACCCTCAATATTGTCTTTTTAACCTCTCTTCTATATCAGACCTGGGCAGAAAGTATAGATTGTGTCTCCTTTGAGGACTTCTCTGCCACATTTTTATTCTTTCCTGATCAGAAGCATCTTTACCCATACTGAGTAAATTCCATTTTGATGACTTACTTTGAAAAGAAAATTACTGAGCAGGTTATTTTACAAAGACAGAATTCCCTTCTTCAGGACATAAATTTACTATCACACTGCAATTCCATATCTGTAGCCAGATGCCTCCCCAAGATACTTATTGCACTAGTTATTTTCTTCCACAGGATTTGTGCGGTTGGATGGAGGAGGTGGACCCTGCTCTGGGCGAGTGGAGGTGAATTCTGGAGGAGGATGGACTCCAGTACCTTATAGGAATTTCACATTACTCACTGCCCAGGTCATCTGTGCAGAGCTGGGGTGTGGCAAGGCAACATCTTTTCTCTTGGACCTGCCCCTCAAAGAGGCCAGTGAACAGGTCTGGGCTGAAGAGTTCCAGTGTAAGGGATGGGAGCCTGAGCTCTGGTTCTGCCCCAGAGTGCCCTGTCCTGCAGGCAGCTGCCAACACAGAGGGGCTGTGCAAGTCGTCTGCTCAGGTGAGACTCACAGCAGAACTTTAACCTTTCTGCACACTCTGTTGTGGTTACAAATGTGAGGTGTTACTGAAATCCTGTCTTCTCCTGCCAGAGTACACAGAAGTCAGGCTCATGAAAAATGGCAGCTCTCAGTGTGAGGGTCAAGTGGAGATGAAGACCTCTGGAGGCTGGAGAACTCTCTGTGCCTCCCACTGGAATATGGCCAATGCCAATGTAGTTTGCCGTCAGCTGGGCTGTGGAGTTGCCATCTCCACCCCAAAGGGAGAGTACTTTGTGGAAGGAGGAGATGAGATCTGGAGAGACCGATTTCACTGCTCAGGGTCTGAGTCCTTCTTGTGGAATTGCCCTGTGACTGCCCTGGGTGTTCCTGCCTGTGCCCATGGAAACACAGTCTCTGTGGTCTGCTCAGGTAAGACAGGTCAGGGCTGACAGGATGTTTTTGAGTGACTTGTCTCTAAGAGCAGACAGCATGGAGAGCAGACTAAAAGTGAGACATTCCTTGGTGAAATATTGTTCTTCTCAATGATCATTCATGTTTTAGGCCATGTCAAGGGCGTTTTTCAGAGGATTTTTTTTTATTGACAAAGGCTATTGATTAATATTACCTATATAAACATTACAGAAAAACAGTAAGATAAAGAACATCCAAATATCTTCTGCAAAATTTTCTCAAATCTTAAACTTTGGCTACCATATTTGCTTCAGACTTTTTCTMTTTATATATATATATATATATATATATATATATATATATATATATATATATATATATATATATATATATATATATATATTGTTCTTACTAGCTATACACGATAGTAGAATGTATTTTGATATATTATACATATATGGAGTATCAATTCTCATTCTTCTGGTTGTACATGATGCAGAGTTACACCAGTCATGTAATCATATATGCACATAGGATAATAATGTCTGATTTATTCTACTATCTTTCCTACCCCTACATCCCCTCCCATCCATTCATTACCCTCTGTATAATCCAAAGTACATCTATTCTTCCTTAGCCCCCTGCCCCTTATTGTGAATTAGCATCCACATATCAGAGAAAACATTCGGGCTTTGGGTTTGGGAGATTGGCTTATCTCATTTAACATGATATTCTCCAGTTCATTCCATTTACTGGCAAATGTCATAATTTCATATTCTTTATGGCTGAGTAATATTTAAATGTGTATATATATATTATATCTTCTTTATCCATTCATCTACTGAAAGGCACCTAGGTTGGTTCCATAGCTTAGCTATTGTGAATTGAGCTGCTATGAATACTGATGTGCCATGTGATTTCAGAATGCTGATTTTAAGCCCCTTGTGTATATGCCAAGGAGTGGGATAACTGGATCAAATGGTAGTTTCATTCTAAGGTTTCTAAAGAATCTTCATACCACTTTGCATAGGTTGCACCAATTTGCAGTCCTACCTACAATGTATGAGTAGACCTTTTTCTCCACATCCTTGCCAATATTTATTGTTATTGTATTCTTGATAATTTCCATTTGTCGCATTCCTGGCAACAAAAGTACTCAGGGTCACTCCAGGGAAACAGGGCTGCACGAAATAACCACACAAGAGACAGAAATACATTTTTCTTTGAGGGTCCTATGATGGCTCCTCTGACCTTAAGGGTCCAGAGAGAGAGAGAGAGAGAGAGAGAGAGAGAGACAGAGAGAGAGCATGCTGACCCCCTTTTATGAGGAGAAGCCATTCAAATGAGGCAAGGGGTCGGGTTTCAAGGGTCTGAGTCTAGCTTCATGAAGTCTACTGTCAGCAGGTTGACTGACATCTAGAAAGGCCACACCCAAAGGCAGAGCAAGAGAAGGGGACACACAAAGGGCATTTTCGTGGACCATTCTATTCCAAACAGGGCAAAGGTGTAATATCACGAAGGACCCATGGGGCTGCAGGAAGGCATGTCTACGCATGAAGACACATTTTGCTACATTTTTACAACTTTCAAGATGGGGGCCACCCTCTACTTTGATGTGGCCAGATCATGGGAAGTGACTGACAGAGCCTCACCAATCAGAAAAGGAAAATGCTGGTCACATAGTGCGATGGCTTCCCACAACCATTCCTACTGAAGTGAGAGGAAATCTCTGTGTAGTTTTAATTTTCATTTCTCTAACTACTAGAGATGTTGAATATTTTTTCATATATTTGTTCACCAATTGTATTTCTTCTTCTGTGAAGTGTCTGTTCAGTTCCTTTGCCCATTTATTAATTGGGTTATTTGGGTTTTTGGTGTTGAGTTTTTTGAGTTCTTTATATATCCTGGAGATTAATTCCCTATCTGAGGTGCAGGTGGCAAAATTTTCTCCCATTCTGTAGGCTCTCTAATCACATTCTTGATTGTTTCCTTTGCTGTGAAGATTTTTAGTTTGAATTCATCCCATTTGTTGATTCTTGATTTTATTTCTTGTGCTTTATGAGTCTTCTTAAAGAAGTCAGTTTCTAAGCTGACATGATATAAATTTGGGCCTACTTTTTATTCTATTAGGTGCAAGGATCTGGTCTAATGCCTAAGTTTTTAATCCACTTTGAGTTGATTTTTGTGCAGGGTGAGAAGTTTGAGTTCAATTATATTTTGCTACATATGCATTGCAAGTTTTCCCAGACCATTTGTTGAAGAGTCATATCTTTTCTCCAATGTATGTTGTTGGCACTTTTGTATAGTATAAAATAACTGTATTTATGTAAGTTTGTCTCTGTGTCTTCTGTTCTCCACCATTGGTCTTCATGTCTGTTTTTGGTGCCAATACGTGCTGTTTTTGTCACTATAGCTCTATAGTATAATTTAACGTCTGGTATTGTGATGCCTCCTGCTTCAGTTTTCTTGCTAAGGATTGCTATGGCTATTCTGGGTCTCTTATTTTCCAAATGAACTTTATGACTGATTTTCCCATTTCTATGAAGACTATCATTGGAATTTTAATGGTAATTGCATTAAATCTGTATAGCACTATTGAGAATATGGCCATTTGACAATGTTAATTCTACTGTCCAAGAACATGGGAGATATTTCCATCTTCTAAAGACTTTTTTAATTTCTTTCATTAGTGTTCTGTAGTTTTTATTGTAGAGGTTTTTCACCTTTTTTGTTAGATTGATTTCTAAATATTTTAATTTTTTAGTCTATTGTGGATGGGGGAGTTTTCCTAATTTCTTTCAATGGATTCATCACTGATTTATAGGAACATGTTTGGTTTATGATTGTTAATTTTATATCCCGCTACTTTGCTGAATTCATTTATTAGTTCTAGAAGTTTTCTGGTGGACTTTTTGGATCTTCTAAATACGGGATCATGTCATCAACAAATAGGGATAGTTTAAGTTCTTCTTTTCCTCTTTGTATCCCTTTAATTTCTTTCTCCTGTCTAATTGCTCTGGCTAGAGTTTCAAGAACTATGTTGAATAGGAATAGTGAGTTCCAGTTTTTAGAAGGAATGTTTTCGGTATTTCTCCATTTAGATTGATGTTGGCTTTGGGATTGGCATGTATAGCTTTTATGATGTTGAGGCATGTTTCTACTATCCCTAGTTTTCCTGGTGTTTTGAACATAAAGCAGTGCTGCATTTTTTCAAATGCTTTTTCTGCATCTATTGAAATATTCATATGATTGTTATCTTTAAGTCTATTGATGTGATTAATTGTGTTTATTGATTTCCATATGTTGAACCAGCCTTGCATCTCTGGGATAAACCCCACTTGGTCATAGTGCACTATCTTTTTAATATGATTTTGTATGTGATTTGCCAAAATTTTATTGAGAATTTTTGCATCTATGTTCATCAGGGATATTGCTCTGAAGTTTTCTTTCCTTGATGTGTCTTGGTTTTGGTATCATGGTAATAGTAGCTTCATATAATGATTTGGAAGTGTTCCCTCCTTTTCTATTTCATGGACTAATATAAGGAATATTGGTATTCTTCTTTGAACGTCTTGTAGAACTTGGCTGAGAATCCATCTGGTCCTGGACTTTTCTTAGTTGGTAGACTTTTGATGGCATCTTCTATTTCTTTTTTGTGGGGAAGGGGATTACTGGGAATTTAATTCATAGGCACTTGAACACTTAGCTACATCCCAGCCCTATTTTGTATTTTATTTTGAGACAGAGTCTCTCTGAGTTGCTTAGTACTTCACTTTTGCTGAGTCTGGCTTTGAACTCATGATCCTCCATCCTCAGCCTCCTGAGCCACTGGGATTACAGGCATGTGCCACAGTGACTGATGCTTCTTCTATTTCTTGAAATTGATCTGTTTAAATTGTATGTGTCCTCCTAACTCAATTTGGGTAGGTCATGTGTCTCTAGAAATTTGTTGATATCTTCAAGATTTTCTATTTTATTGGCATATAAATTTTCAAAATAGTTTGATTATTGTCTGTATTTCAGTAGTGTCCACTGTGATATTTCTTTTTTTCGTAACAAATATTAGTAATTTGAATTTTCTCTGTTTTAGCATGGCTAAGGATTTATTGACTTTTTAATTTTTTTTCAAAGAACCAACTTTTTTGTTGATTTTTTGAATTGTTTCTTTTGTTTCAATTTCATTGATTTCAGCTCTTATTTTAATTATTTCTTGTCTCTTCCTGTGTTTGGTGTTGATTTGTTCTTTTTCTAGGGATTTGAGATGTAATATTTATTTGTTGACTTTCTATTCCTTTAGTGAATAAGCTTAATGCAATGAACTCTCCTCTTAATATTGCCTTCATAGTATCCCAAAGATTTTGATATGTTGTGTCACTATTTTCATTTACTCCTATGTATTTTTTTTATTTCATCCCTGATTTCTTCTGCTATCTTTTGGTCATTTAATAGTGTACAACATAGTCTCCAAGTGTTAAAGTAGCTTCTATTTTTTTCATTGATTTCTAATTGTATTCCATTATCATCTGATGATAGAATGCAAGGTGTTATCTCTACTTTTTTGTATTTGCTAAGAATTACTTTGTGGCCTAAGATAGATATGTTCTATTTTAGAGAAGGATTCCATGTGCTGCTGAGAAGAAAGTATATTCAGTCCTTGATGGATGAAATAATCTATGTATGTTCATTAAGTCTAAATTATTAATTGTATTCACTAGCTGATCCCAGTTTTTACTCTTCTCTGAACTTGACTCCAAAAGTTTTTCTGGAAGGTGTAGAATGCTCTCAAGAAGAACTGGCATACTCCCATTTTCCTAAAATCATTCCTACTATTTTACAAAAAGCCTAAGAGTCTGCCTGAGTCAGAAGCAGAAATCTCCATTAAGAGATCAGCTCTAAAGATAGGAAATTACTGATTATGTCCTATACTTTCAAATGCCATCCCTAGATTATTATGTAATTTAATTCAGTTTCCTGCTCTCTACCCACTTCTATAGGTAACCAGACCCAGCTGCTGCCCCAGTGCAATGACTCCTGGTCTGACCCAGCAGGCTCCACAGCCTCAGAGGGCAACACTGCCAACTGCTCAGGTGTGCAAGACCCCCAGCACCAGAACCTTCCCATTCCCTGTGTAAATGTCCACTGACATGACCCTGTCTCTCCTCAGACAGCAGACAGCTCCGCCTGGTGGATGGGGGCAGTCACTGCGCAGGGAGAGTGGAGATTCTGCAGCAGGGCTCCTGGGGCTCCATCTGTGATGACAGCTGGGACCTGAGTGATGCCCACGTGGTATGCAGACAGCTGGGCTGTGGAGTGGCCCTGGAGGCCACCGTCTCTGCTCATTTTGGAGAGGGATCAGGGCCCATCTGGCTGGATGAGCTGAACTGCACAGGAGAGGAGGCTCATGTGTGGCAGTGCCCTTCCCAGGGCTGGGGGCAGCACAACTGCAGACACAAGGAGGATGCAGGGGTCATCTGCTCAGGTTTGTGGGACACACTGTGCACAGGTGGGAGAAGTGAGAAGGTTGTGCAGGATGGTACCTGAGCTTTAGGGCAGAAGAGGGGAAATTGGTAGCAGGGAAGAGGGGGAGGAGGCTCATCCCACAGTGCCAGTGTCTCTAGCAGAAAAGATGAGGTGCTTCCATTTCCTGATGCAGCAGCTGAGCTTCTGCTCCTTCCTTCTCATCCCTGCCTCCTGACAATCATTCTCTTCAGTGTCCATTTGACTGCAGACCTCATGCTTCAGTTACTGTGAGTGCAAAATCCTGAGACCTACTGTATTAGTTTCCTATTGCTGCCATAATAAATTACCACAGAGTTAGTGGCTTAAAACAACACAATTCAAGTCTGACCCCAGTCCACCTGAGCTGACAAGGTGTCAGTGGACTGCCTTCAGCTGAGGCTCTGGGAAGACTCATTTTCTTGCCTTTTCCAGTGTCTTAAAGTTGCCTGTTTTCCACTTTCTTCTTTAAGTCAACCACCTGGCACATCTCTGAGCATTTTTTCTTCTTCACATCTCTCTCTGACTAGAGCCAGAAACTGCTGTCTGCTTTTGAAAACACAGGTCTAAGGATGTGATTTGATTGTGCTCACATGGTTAATTCATGATAATCTAAAATAATCTCACTATTAAAACATCCTTATCTTGATCTTATCTAAAAAGCCCCTTTGCCTCACCAGGTGACCTATTCACAAGCTCCAGGATCAGGAACTGACATATCTTGGACTTCACTACTCTGTCACCTCACTGTTGATACCCCCTTTCCCAGGGTCTGTCATATATTTAGTCAGGTAGCTTTGCCTCCCTCCCTTCAAGAGCCCCACTTCAGTGTTCCTGCCTGTTCATTTTCCACTACACCATTGTCATAGAAATAGAAAGAGACATACAGGTTATTAAAGCAGGTAAAAGGGATAAAAGTTTTGTCTTTCCACCTACTGGGCATTTCATCAGCAAAGTTAGCAATGAGCACTCAGTAACTAGGGATAAAGAAAAAACAGCACTAAGAGTTGAATGCTCACTGTGTCCTATTTTCCTCCTCTTGGTTTCAGAGTTCCTGGCCCTCAGGTTGGTGAGCAAGGACCAGGAGTGTGCTGGGTGGCTGGAGGTTTTCTACAACAACACCTGGGGCAGTGTCTGCCACAGCCCCATGGAAGCTTTGACCTTGTCCGTGATCTGCAGACAGCTTGGCTGTGGGGACAGTGGGATTCTCAACTCTTCTGTTCCTCTCAGAGAAGGTTCTAGACCCCGTTGGGTAGATGGAATCCAGTGTAGGAAAATGGACACCTCTCTCTGGCAGTGTCCTTCTGACCCCTGGGAACAAAGATCTTGCTCTGCAAAGGAGGAAGCTTATATCATATGTTCAGGTGATTTATTCCCTATTCCTGTGTCCTCTACAGGTTGTTGTTAGAGAAATTTCATACTTTCAAACCAAAGAAATGAGTTTAAATAAGTTTTATGAGATGAACATTTGAATAGAGATTATTTAAGCCTCAATTTACAATCTTGTTTCAATGAATGACAGAAATAAGTAAACCTGTTCTGATAGCCATTTATGTGGGAAATGTCATGGATATTAAACTGAGCATGTAGAAGCATGGACTTATCTGCCGGGTTTCTGTTCACAACTAAAAGGTTCAGGGGGCACTCCAGGAAAACTGGGCTGACTGGGCTATGCAAAATAACCACACAAGAGACACAAATACCTTTTTCTTTGGGGTTGCTGTGATGGCTCCTCTGACCTTAAGGGTCCGCAGGAAGAGAGAGAGAGAGAGCACGTGGCTGACCCCTTTTATTAAGGAGAAGCTATTCAAATGAGGCAAGAGGTCAGGTTTCAGGGGGCTGAGTCTATCTTCATGATGTCCACTGTCAGCAGGTTGACTGACACCTGGGTAGGCCACACCCCAGGACACAGTAAGAGAAGGGGATACACACACAAAGCACTTCCATGGAAGATTCTATCCTAAACAGGACAAGGGGTTATATTACAAAGGGACAGGTGAGCATAGCTTCACCCATGGGGCTGTAGCAAGACACACCCATGCACGAGACACTGACCCTCGAACCCAAGAAGGGTGGGGAAAGGTCTGCCACATTTCTATGACTGAGCGCCTCAGCACCCAGCCGGGGAGTGTGACTCAGTCAAGTGCAAGGTTGGTCTCCCATACTTATCCTCTGAAACACCATGTAAGCAAATGGCTAATGCAGTCTAAGGCTATAGTAATTACTCTGTATTTCCTTAGTAGAGTGAGGAATTTGACCTCAATTATGTATTCACTTGCTACGTTAGGGGTTTTTTTCACATGTAATGAAGGTTAAACCTCTCAGTACACTGTTCATAGATATTATGAAGATCATTTAATCCAGATGTGCAAACTGAGGCTAGGAGTAAGCACTTCATCCACCCAATGCCCTCAGAAGAGTGAGGGACAACTTGGGGAATCCAATACTCATGGGTTGTCTTTGAGCTCATAGCCTTTTACTCTACATCAGTCAGACAACCTCTTAGGCAAGATTGTTGATGGTAAGTAATGGTGTGCCTTATAGGTAGAAACTTAATTCTAGGCAGGAGGAGAGACAAGAATAAAATACTCTCCCTGTCCTCATGGAGTTTACTCTTCAACATGATAACACACACCAGCCATAATGTGAGTGACAAGAAAAAGTAGAAGGTGCTTTGAAAATGGGTAATTTGAGAAAAAGATAAATCCTATTTAGATTGAGACCTAAAGGAGGAGTAGATGTCCAATGAAGGAAGTAATTATAACATTTGGTCATTGTAAATACTGAGGTGTGAGAAGCATGGTGACCTTGAGGTACTGATAAAATCCCATCAGGAGCAGAGTAGAAAGAGGGTGGTGAAAGTGATGCCTGATTACCTGGATGGGTAATAAAAAATAAAATAAAAAAAAATAAAAATAAAAAAGCTCAAGGCATGGCCCCAGTAGCAATCCTATTGAAAAGCTGTTTATTAGTCTTCTCCTCTGCCACATTATGGGGAATTGCTGGGAAATGAGGCACCTATTCTCCCCTTATGTTTCTCTTGAACTGATCTCCTCACAGTCCCAGTGGTCCTGGTTGATACTACCTCCTCTGAGCCTTTATCCATATGCTACTGCAAACTAATGCCCACTTCATCCCTCTCCCAGAAAACATTCCATGGGGCCTGTTGGAAATTGGAGACTATCATCTTCCAATTTCTTAAGACCTGTAATGTCCCCTTCAGTTTCATGTTCTCACAAAAACCTGGCTGTCCACTGAAAATAATGATATCCTTATCATTTGGAGGCTCTGTACATCCCTTTCAAAAGGATATTTCTGGGCCAAATCTTAAAATAAAAATATCCCTCCTTTTATTTGTCATTTTCAACAATTTCTTTCCTTTTTCTCCATGTCCAGCAATGTGAAATATGACCCATGAGGTGACACCGGCCACCAATTCTATTGGTGTCACTATCCAGCCTGGTCACACCCCCTCATCCAGGAAGGCTGCAGTACCAGGCTCACCAGGCTCCTCTGTCTCCTGTTCCTGGTGCTGCCAACATCCTTGAACACACTGAGATAACATCCTGGCCTCTCCATTCCTGATTCTCTCCCTTCAAATCACTCTGCTCCCTCCCACCCCATCTCCATGTATGGCCACACTATTGACCATCACTAACTGTCCAGCTTGAGATCTTGTTTGCATTGTTCCTTCTCTGACTATTGCCTCTTCTCCTTATGGCACATATTCTTCATTCTCCTTTTCCAAATATTTTTTAAATATTTATTTTTCAGTTTTAGGTGGACACAATATCTTTATTTTTATGTGGTGCCGAGAATCTAACCCAGTGCCTCTCGCAGGCTAGGCAAGCACGCTACCACTTGAGCCACATCCCCAGCCCCTTCCACACCACACATTTTATCCTCATGCAGATTCCCCTATCAGTTTTCCATTCTCCTCATGATTGCACATGTTCTTCTTACCCTAAAGACAACAAGATGCCCCATTATAATCCTCCCCCTTCTTTTCCGCCAGTCAACAACAAGATGATTGAGTTAACTACCTACCTCTTCGCTGCCTGCACTAGACTAGGCAAGGACTGATGAATCATGGACAAGTACTGTCTCCTGTTATAATGTAAAATTATCCTCTCTGTTTGAATTTGTGATCCAATCTCTGATGGGCCCTCCACACTGGCCCCATATTGTAGTGTGCCTCTCTCATGTGTCCTCTTGCTCTTGCTCTAACATGACATTTTACAAATTCATTGATCTGCCCCTCACTGTTATTTAAACCACATCGTACACATAAATGATGGTCTTGCCTCAAACTTCACTGGAAAATAGAAACTTTCAGCTGTCTACCTGCTTTTTTGTTTTTTCCTTATGGTCACTCTGACTTACTGATTATTATTTTGTCTTACAGTGCTAGAACTTCTTTGTTAGATATCTAAATTTTAGACTCTGTACTCTTCCTTAGCCCTGTCTTCTTTTCCTTATCTCATTGGGATTCATGGCCTTAAATTATATCATTTCACTGACAGCTCCCAATATAAAGCTCCATAGCTGATCTCTGCCCTTAGATCCAAACTCCTAAATTTCATTGCTAATGTACCCTCACTTGAATATATGATAGACAGCTCAAATTTAGTTTTCAAAATAGAGTGTTTTACTCTACCCCTTCAATCCCTGCCTCTAACTTTTTCTCCCTGTTCCATTCCCCATCTCTGTTAATGCCATTGCTGTTGCTCAATTACTTATTCTTAGTCTACATTCATGTCTCCATTTCACTCTCCCTCCAGTTTCAGTGTAGTAGCAAGGTCTATGTCTCTACCAGAAACCATGTCCTAAATCCTTCTACTCCTTTCTTCCCACTCTCATCTTAATTCAGGAAAGATCACTTGTTGCTTAGACTCTTCCAAAAGTCTTTAGTGGTCTTTGTCTTCTATAACATATTGTCTATTTAATGCTGGAAATAAGCTCATTTGACTAGCAGGTTGATTAATGTATTGCTGTGTGTGTCAGTGAGCTGCATTTAGAAATGACACTGGCCCATTTCTTTGTGGCTCCCAGATGCAGAAACAACTGGAAACCATGTCTCAGTGTCTGTAATTAGCCTAATTAGCAAAAATTGCCAGGGAATATGTAGTCAGCTTGTTCTCAGGCTTTGAAGGACTTCCCCCATAGAAGGGGGAGGGGACTGTGAGCCACTCAAGGGGTTGGGGATATGACTCATGGGTGCAGATTACTACTGATTGGGTTTGGATTCATTCTAAGTTTAAGTAACACTAAACAACCTCTCCATGTGAGACCCCCCAGGGAATGAGTAATGCTGTCTGTCTGGACAACGAGCACTAGAGGCATGAAGGGATGACCACCCCATCTTCTCTTATGCTGTGCTCTTTTTTGTTCTCTTCACAGAATCAGCCACATGCTTAACACTAAGGGATTTATGTTCTTCCCTCTAGTTTGTTTTTGCTGTAGAGTTAAACAATATTTTTTCTATTACACTGATTACCAAAACTTTACTCATTAAAATCAAGGAAGACATATAAATAAATATAAAGAGTCTTTAAATATAAACATATAAATAAATATAAAGACATATAAATAAATATAAAGACATATAAAAATATAAAGAGTACATTGATGACATTGAACAAACTCTTATCTATTTATATTCCATATTCCCCTGATTTAAATAGGATTAATGGACTTAAAAATCAAAAATTTTTTCCCAACCCTCTAGTTTCATGAAATCCTACCCTAAGCCATATAGTGATAAAAGCATTTATCCTATGGTGTCTTTTCATTTGGTTTTATAACATTGGAATTATATCATACTTACTATTATTACATTGGCTTTCTTAACAATATATTGTGGATATTCCTCAAGTAGAGCTCACTCATTTGTAAAACAACACCATGATGTTACATTCGTAAGAGATTAGCATTACAATTTGCATAATCATTTTGCTATTAATTTATAATTCTTTTCTATTTTTCCCTTCTACAAACAATATTGTAACAAATGTCCTTGCTACATACTAGTAGGTTTATTACTACAAGATGACTGCCAATGGTTGTAAGATCACAAAATATCTATTTTTTGAGCAGATATTGTCATATTACTTTGTAGGAACAATTGTTGTCAATTGGTATTTCATATCTTGATAAAAAACACTGGGATTTTTTTTATAACTTGACCATTAATCTAAAGTCAAAGAACATACAGAAGCTTAAAAATCAAAACACAAACAAAGCCCACAAACCTATGCTAGGAAATGCCTGAAATCCAAGGAGAATGCAATGGCATATGATGGTAAATGTTTCAAAAGCAAATGCTTACTTTTTTCCTTTTCTTCTCTTTCCTCACCTTATTTTTTTTTCCTTTTCCCTGTAGAGGCTGAAGTGATAATAAATTATAAGATTAGGTATTGATGTATTTTTCCCCTTACAATAGACTCCACATATTGAGAAATAGTGAAACATCCAATCCTGAAAGTGAGTAGCCACCCAAGAGAGGTTTCTAGAGATGTTCTCTGCATGGGGTAGGAGTTTGATAAGAGTAATGGGAATAATGTATACCCGTGATGTTTTTTTAGGAAAAGTGCCATGTATGTTTTCTTAGTGTCATTTTGCTTTTTTATGTATTCTTTTGTTTTGTTTTGCTTGCTAGATGTTACCTCTATGTCCTTTCATGAGTTAATTTTCCTCAGTGTACTACCTGTTTATGCAAACGTTTCTATCTTACCAACTATTATCTACTTATTAACTTTTCTCTAAATTCTACTTGCTTTGTTTATGTAAAAAAAAATTTTAATTTATTTAAAATAATAATGTTAATTAATTTAAATAAATACTTTTAATGTTTGTAATTTTTATAAACAATATGAGGGATATTGAGTACAAATTACTTTGAGGATTACTCAGTACTTATATTTTAAATGTCTAATATTTGTTACCACAAGACATTGATATTAACTTACTCTTTATTACCTTTCTGGTTAGCATGAATTCAAAAAAAATATTTTTCAGCAGATTTTACTCCTCTATTCATTTAATCAGTAAATATTTATAGGCCGCTGTTCATAACATTCGTAGAAAGTCACCCATACATACTTCTACAAAAGGCATTCAACATGCCAGGCATTGTCCTGTTCGCAGGAACAGGGAATTAGGCAAGGTCCCTTTCTAGTGAAGTTTTCTTTCTGAGTTATGTGTGTCTCTCTGTGTGTTTGAGTATACATATATGAGCATGTGCATGATCATGTTTGTGTTTTTTCACATTATGGGCACAGAAAAAAAAACAAGTAAACTGATAAAATTTCAGCTGCTGAAAGGGATATGCTCCAGGGGATGTCTCAGTAATCCAGGACCTGAGACTGCTTGTGAAGCCTGTTATCTCCACCTGTCACCTGAACTGAGCCCAGGACCTTAGAGAGCCTTGTCTTGGGGCAGGATCCCCCCAACTGCTACTTACCAGTGCTTCCCCACTGTCTGCTCCTGCAGGAAACAGACCCAAGAGCTGTCCATCCACTGTGCCCTGCATAGGTACCTCATCCCCTTCCACCTTCCCCATGGCTTCCAGGGGCTCCTTTCCTTCTACCAGGGAGTAAGAGGAGGTGCTGCTGCCTTTTCAGACAAAGAGAAGCTCCTACTCAGGGGAGGAGACAGCGAGTGCTCAGGGCGAGTGGAGGTTTGGCATGAAGGCGCCTGGGGCACTGTGTGCGATGACTCCTGGAGCCTGGCAGAGGCTGAGGTGGTGTGTCAGCAGCTGGGCTGTGGCTCTGCCCTGGAAGCCCCAGGAGAAGCTGCATTTGGCCCTGGAAATGGAAGCATCTGGCTGGACGAGGTGCAGTGCAGGGGCAGGGAGCCCTCCCTGTGGGCCTGTGCTGCAGCACCCTGGGGACAGAGTGACTGCAAGCATGAGGAGGACGCTGGTGTGAGGTGTTCTGGTGAGTAGCAGGACGAGGAGGGGGGGACAGGGTTGAAGTGTGTTTGCATCCAAAGGCTTCCCAGGCTTCCCTGCTGCCCTGAACTCTTGGCATCTTGAAGAGAACCACGTGCCAGTGGTGATGGGTGGGCAGGAATGACATTCGAAGACCAACACAATGCAATGATTCCATTTTCCTTCTCTTCTTCCCAGGTAAAAGGACACGAATTCGCCCCACTCCTAGAAATAAGTGGTTCTTTTACTCTGAATCAGGTAATAAGGAGTTAAGTAGATTTTCAGTGTTCTGCCCTGTGGGGTCTACACAGGCCTGATGATCAGGTGTTAAAAGAAGCCATCATTTTTATTAAGTTGTAGCAGAGAGCTCCAAAGCCTCCCACACATTCACTTTATGGAAAACCCTTCAAACTAGACTCAGAAGATAGTAGACACAGCTCAGATCAGGATCTAGGGTGGCAATATCCTGGGATTCAGGCAGATCTATGATGACTGAGCTAGAGATTTCATGGTCCTGAGGACTGAAGCGAGGACCAGGATAACTGATTTCTCCTGAGCTTATGGTTCTCTCTAAAGACTCATGACTCTTTTTCTTCTTCAGGCACAAGTTCAGCCTCAGCCCCTGTCCCTGGTATCTTCTCCTTACCTGGGATCCTCTGCATGATCCTGGGAGCTCTTCTGTTTCTGGTCCTAATTATCCTGGGAACTCAGCTGCTCAGCTGGAGAGCACAGCACCAAGGTGGGGCATAGGAATGCTATGACCAGAAAGTATGCAGGGATAATATAGGGCCAATTGTGGGTTGTTGTTTTGTTTTGTTTTTTTAAGTATACGTTTTACCTTGTTCTGATTATATAAAAAACTTTTCTACATGGACTTGGAGATTTAGAACACATGAATTCATCCTAGGTTAAAAAATGAAGCCCTAATGCCCCAAATATGATGGTTTCCCATATGGAGAGTGCTAGTGGAGACTGGGTATAAGATCCAGCGGTGGCCAGGAAATCTAGTTCTATCCCAATGATCACAAAGATAAAGAAAGGGACCATAAGCTCAGGAGAACCCAATTATCCTGGTCATCACTTGAATCTTCAGGACCATGAAGTCCCTAGCTCAGAGGGTATCTCCAAGAGTGTGCATTGGAGAAGATTCTGTCTGTTGATAAAGGAAAGACTTCTAGGAGCAATATCTGAACTCATTCTGCTTTCCACAGCCTTATCCACTTTTGAAGCTGCTGTTGATGAAGTCCTGTACCAGGAGATAGATCACTCAATAAATCCAGAAAATGAGAGCCTGCTAAACAGCCCAGGTGTGTTCCATAGCCTCCTTTTCTTTGCATGAATTTGCCATCAGTGTGGGAATCTTCAGTAAGCAAAGACAGCATGACTAACCCAGCCACACATGGCATATTAGATAGCTTTTCATTACTGAAATAAAATGCCTAAGATAATCAAATTACAAGGAGGAAATATTTATTTATTTTGACTCACATTTTCAGATGTTTTACTCCATGGTAACCTGGCCCTGATGCTTTGGGGCCTGTGCAAGGCAGCATATCATGCTGGGAGCAAGTAGTGGGGCAAAGATGCTCACCTCATAGTGACCAGCAAACCAATAAAAAGAAGAAGAGATTAGCATCCTATAATCCTTTTCAAGACCATGTTCCCAACTACTTAATACCTCCCACTAGTCCCAGCTCCTTAAAGGACCAACCTGTGGACCAATCATTTAAAACATGAACTTTTAGGAATATTCCTGGAGCACTGTAACAATTCTCAGCATCCTCCAATGGCAAGAGCTCCAAGCCCTCTCTCTACAAGTATGAAGCTTCAAAATTTCTTCTGAACCATGAACCAAAATTTCTTCTGGACCTCCTACTGTGTTTGTCTATGATGTTTTCTCCCTACTAGGAACCATGTCTGATAGCTCAGCAACTGAGCTACCCTATTACCCAGGGGACAGTGAGGAGAATGGAGACACTGAATCTGCCCCAGGTAATAGAGACAAGTCTTCCCCTGGATGGTGGGGGTGAGGAGGAGGTTATCATCTGAGAAGAACTTTATATGATTAGGATGGGAAGGGTCTCTTCCTTCAGGTTCACAACTATTTTTTCCTCTCCACCCACTCTGTCATTTAGAAAGGGAAAGATTACATTCTAATCTGTTAGTTTTCATAGCTACTTCCTTATGGTCACAGATATACTTCAAGCATATCATTGTAAAACCCAAAATCATGACTTTAAAAAGAACATTTGAACCTGATCATCTCAAAAAATTTCTTGGTGAAAGAGAACATTGAGAAGTATGGTTTTGAGGTTTTGACCCTGAAATAGAGGGATGTATGAACCATTTTGTGGTTTAAGTGATACTAAGAAAAATAATGACCTTCATAATCCCTGGAACACGTGGAGTGTGTGATGTCTGTACTTATCAATCACCAGGAGCTCTTGTCTACAAAGGACCTAAGAAAGTAAGACATCCTGGATCTTCCCCAAGTAGTAAAAATGGAGAGTTCCAGGGATGAGGCATGTCCAGGAGTGCTCTGTCAAGATGGATCTTAAGGACAACTGAGTAGTAGAGGAGGTTGAAAGCCATGCCTCCTGGAATTGGAGTTAGTAGGATAGCCTATGTGTGCGAGAGAGAAAGCCAGGCTTCTCTTCTGGACAGCACTGTGTCTCCATTGCCTCAGAGGCCATATGAACAACCTGCATTCTCCTTAGTCCTGATGAAATCTCCCTGACTCACTGATATGTACATATTTTTTTCAACCCTCTACCACATGCCTGAAAAGAGTGCTTCAAACTCAGCATAACTTTTATCGATGTGTTGTGGAATAATCTGTTAGTAAAATATTATTGACCTTAGTATACTGAAATATTTAGATGATTTACATGGTTTCTAAGAATACAGAGATCAATTATGCCTTTTGGACAACCTTGGAATATGGTGCCTATATGTATCAGCTATTAGAATCTCTGCATTAGAAGAGACTGAAGACATCACCTTGACTAACCCCGAGTGATAGGAATGGGGTTCCCCTCGGTGAAATGAGAAATAAAAGCTAAGAGAAATAAAATGGCTGAAAAATCACAGAACACAGAAAGTAGTTTCAAAAGCGGGGATAGGACAAGCAAGCTAATCAAACGAATTGAGCTTCTGGACAAAATGGAGCCCACACCTGCTTTATTTATATCAGGAAACATCAAAGGCCTTCCATAGAATATTCTTTACCAAACTAGGATAAAGGTGGGCTGACCAGTTCCTAATAGGATATGCCCATCTCTGGTACTACTATGAGGAACCTTTCTAGCACAGTGGAGGGAAAGGTCATATGCATGGGGTGATCTATTGCCTGGGAAAGCCACAGAAAGTTCCCAATGCCAGGCCTATCCCTCCTTGGCTTCCAAGGTGAGAGAAGGTCCTCATGTATTTCATGGATGGCTTCCTGCAACTAACAAGTATCTGGCTCTTCCACTTACTTTCTGTTTTCAGAACCTGCAGGGCAGCATGCAGATGCCACCAGTAATAGTTATGATGATGTTGAAGAGTTACCTGTTTCTGAAATTCCTTCTTCCTCTGGAATGAAGGAGAAGAATTTTTTCCCAGAAGAGGGAGGTGGTGCCAGGTGTTCTCAGACAGGTATGTGGATAGCTATCTCTCCAGTTGTCCTGCATTATTGTCATGGAAAAGATGGATTTGGACATGTTAAAGAACCATTTTCTTTTATTACAAGAATCTAGGTAGCCTTGTAAACCAAGATGATGTCATCTCTTCCATTTTTCTGTTTATTGAAGCTGTTGTATTTCTTCTGAAGGAGATACATATTGTGTTCTCTGTCTGCACACACAGGCCATGGGATAGAAACATGTATATATGAGCTGCAGAGACTTTGTGGCTTTGTTCTAGTTTTCACACAACAAACTAACATCTATGTTCAGACAACAAGTATGTGAGAAGTAATTTGGAAAGCTTTCTAGAGTTTTTATTAGTGAATTTTAATTATTCATAATAGTAGCATTCATTTTGACATATTCATAAATACATTTAACATAATTTGCTCCATTTAAATATCTAATGCTTCTCCTTTCCCAGCCTCCCCTTGATCCCCTTCCTCTATTCAACTGATCTTTCTTCTATTTATTTATTGTTTTTTTAGCTATTGCATCACAGTTATATTTAAACATAAAATTCATTGTGATATATTCAAGCACACAAATAACATAATTTGGTTAATTTCATTCCCTTTTCCTTCCCCTCTTCCTCCCCTTCAGTCCCCTTCTACTCCACTGTTATTGTATTTTCATGAGATCTCCCCAGATTTTTTATTTCTTATTTCCCTCTAGTTTCTGCATATGAGAGAAAACATTCAACCCTTAACTTCCTGAGTCTGGCTTATTTCATTTAGCATGATTTTCCCCAGTTCCATCCATATCCATTTTTCCATTTTTCTTTATGTCTAAATGGAACTCTGTGTGTGTGTGTGTGTGTGTGTGTGTGTGTGTTTTGTGTAATCACATTTTTTTATCTATTCATTCCTTGACAGACACCTAGGCTGGTTCCATAACTTGGTTACTATGAAATCTACTGTTATAAACATAGATATATCTATATCAATGTAATATGCTGAATTCAGCTCTTTTTATAAATATCAACAAGTGGAATAGGAGGGACCCTAGTCCTCACCAACACTTATTTATTTACTTTTTAATGTTTTATTAGTACATTATAGTTCTACATAATAGTAGAATAGTAGGGTTCATTTTGATATAGTCATACATGCATGAAATAAAGTTTTCTCCATTTCAACCCCTAATATTCCACTTTTCTTCTGCTCCCCCTTCTCTACTCTACCAATCTTTCTTATAATTATTTATAGTTTTTTTAAACTGGTGCTGTATAGACATACATAAAGGTGAAAATCACTGTGAGATATATATATATATATAGATATATAACAAACTTTGATTTCATTCCATAGTTCCTCCCTTTTGCTGTCTTTCCTCCCTCCTTGTCAATCTTTTTACTCTATTCCACTGATTTCTACTTTCATGAAATACCCCCCCCCCTTTTATTTCCTTATTTTGTCCCAGCTTCTGTGTAAGAGATAAAACATCCAACTTCTGGATTTTTCAGTTTGGTGTATTTCACTTAGCATGATATTCTCCAGGTCTATTAATTTACCTGCAAATGCAATAATTTCATTTCTTATAGCTGAGTAAAATTCCATTTTGTATATTTGCCAATTTTCTTTATCATTCATCTATTGACAGGTACCCATGCTATTTTCATAATTTGGCTATTATGATATGCCTATATCCTTGGATAAAAACTAAGGCGTGACCTATATCCCCGGGGGTTTTGGAGCCTGAGGCAGGAGGATTGGGAGTTCAAAGCCAGCCTCAGCAATTTAGTGAAGCCCTAAATAACTCAGCAAGACCCAGTCTCTAAATAAAATATTTAAAAGGGTTGGAAATGTGGCTCAGTGGTTAAGCACATCTGGGTTCAATCTCTGGTACAAAAAAAAAAAAACAAGGAGAGAGAGTTATGTCATATTGTGATTCCTAGTCTTTTGATGAATCTCCATACTGATTTCAAAAACGATTGTACTAATTTGCAATACCACCAATAATGTACTTTTACTCCACATCTTCACCAGCATTTATTATTTGTATTCTTGATGATTGCCATCCTAACAGGGGCTAGATGACATCACAACGTAGTCTTGATTTTTATTCCCTTGATTGCTAGAGACATTATTTGTTGGTCATTTGTATTTATTCTTTTAAGAAACGTCTATTTATTGATTGATTGGGTTAATTGTTTGGGAGGTATTAACTTTTTAGGTTCTTCATTTATTCTAGGTATTAATCCCCTGTTAAAGGAGTAGCTGACAGAAGACTTTCTCCCACTTCATACGCTCCCTTTTCGTGCTCTTGTTTCCTTTGCTGTGCAGAAACATTTTAATTTTATCCCATCCCCCATGTTGATTCTTGATTTTTATTACTTGAGTCTTAGGAGTCTTAATAAGGTACCTATAACAACATGTTAGAGAGGTGAGCCTATTTTTAATTCTACTAGTTGTAAAGTTCCTAGGTCTTTGATATATTTTCAGTTGACTTTTGTTCAGGGTGAGAGATAGGAATCTAGTTTTATTCTACACATGGACATCCAGTTTTCCAGCGCTATTTGTTATAAACGCTATCTTTTCTCCAACATATGTTTTTGGCGCCTTTGTCAAGTATTAGATGAAAATATTTATTTGGGCTTATTTCTATGTCTTCTATTTCTTTTCTTCTGTTTTTATTCCAGTACCATGCTATTTTTGTTACTATAAAACTGTAATATAATTTGAGATTGAAAATTGTGATGTTTCCAGCCTTGTTCTTCTTGCTCAGTATCGCTTTGACTATTCTGGATCTTTTATTCTTCCATATTCATTTTAAGATTGATTTTTTTCTACTTCTGTGAATAATATCATTGATATTTAATGAGGATTGCAATGAATCTGTAGATTGCTTTTGGGAGTATGACCACTTTAACAATATTAAATCTGCTAATTGAAGAACAAGGGGTGTTGTTCCATCTTCTAAGATCTTTCTCAATTTCATTCTTCAGTGATCTATAGTTTTATCTTAGCAGTCTTTCACCACCTTGGTTACCCTTATTACCAGGTTTTGGTTTTGGTTTTGGTTTTTGGTTTTTAGAGGATATTATGAATGGAATCATTTTTCTGGGGTTTTTTATTTTGTATTTGGTTCACTATTGGTATATAGCAAATCTATTAAGTTTTGCTTTTGGTCTCAGTTTTTGGTTTTTCTTTTTGTTGGTTTGTTTTTTTGGTGTTGTTTGTTTGGTACTAGAAATTTAAACCAGACTGTTTTACCACTGAGCTACATCCCTAGCCCTTTTTGGTTTTGTTTGTTTGTTTGTTTGTTTGTTTGTTTGAGACAAGGTCTCTCTGAGTTGCTTAGGGCCTCATTAAGTTGCAGAGACTGGACTTAAACTTGCAATCCTCTTGTCAGCCTCTCCAACTGCTGGGATTATAGTTTGCAACACAGCAATCAACATGAAAAATCTATGAATGTTTGTATGTTGATCTTGTGTCCTGCTATTTTTCTGAGTTTGTTTACCATTTCTGAAAGTTTTCTGGTAGAGGTTTAGGGGTCTTATATGAATAGAATCATATCATCTGCAAATGAAAATAATTTTACTTCTTTTCTCTTTGTTATCCCTTTAATTTTCTCCTTTTGCCTAACTTCTCTGGCTAAAACTACAAGAAATATATAGGAGTGGTAAGAGTTTAAATCCTTGTCCTGCTCCTGATTTTAGAATAAATGCTTTTATTTTGTCTCCAACCATTATGATGTTGGTTTTCAGTTAATCACTTACAGCCTTCATGAGTTTGAGGCACTTTCCTTCTATTCCTAGTGTCTTCCATGTTTTGTGGGGGATAACAGGGATTGAACTTGAACTCAGGGGCACTCAATCACTGAGCCACATCCCCAGCCCTATTTTTATTTTATTTAGAGACAGAGTATCACTGAGTTGCTTAGCACCTCTCCATTGCTGAGGCTGGCTTTGAATTTGTAATCCTCCTGCCTCAGCCTCCCAAGCCACTGGGATTACAGGCACGTGCCACCACGCTCTGCCTCTTCCATGTTTTTAACATGAGTGAGTGCTGATTTTTGTCAATGACTTTTTCTGTCTATTGAGATGGTCATGTGATTTTTGTACTTAAGTTTATTTATGTGATAAGTTATATTTATTGATTTTTGTTTACTGAACAACCTTTCACCTATTTTGAGGAAAGCACGTAGCTAAATGTTTCTAGTTGACATTTCCCACTATTAATGCATAATGTGCAATAGTCTTAACTAGAGAATATTGAAATTTCCATGCTAGAAGGAATGATTTTTGTCTTATTGTTTCAAATAACATATGGTATTATTTCTTGGGATTGGGCTTTCTACTTGCGCATGGGCATGTGGTCCATGGGAAACAGGAAACTATTGAATTTAATTGAGCTTCCCCTCTTCAGCATCTGCCAAAGGACCCAAATTGTTGTCATGAATACTGTGAGGTCAAGTGTGGTCTGTTATTGAGGTACTGAGGAATCAAGGGAGGTCATCTTCTGCTTAGAGTGCTTAAGGAATCAGCCTAGTATGGAAGAGAGAGTGCTCATGTGAGTACATTTACTCTCAGCGACCTCTGAAAATTCAGTGTTTGAACTGAATGAATCTCACATGGGATCTCCCACAATTTTGTCCCATAGTTCTACCATCCTCCTTCTCATTGAAATCAAGGCATTTGGACAGAGCAGAGTTCCTGTGATATAGCTCTATTAATCCTTCCAGAAAAGTTCAGGTTCCCCATAGATATTTTGTAGCCATTCTACTAGTCTTTCATCCTACAAGAGGTATCTGTATTGTCATTTTGTCACCACTGAAACCAGGATTCTCTTACTGTTTCAGGCACCTCTCCTCAGTCTCTCAGAGAAGCTGATAATTCTAACACAGAAGAGACAGCATCCTCATTGGTCCTGGGACAAGATGACCCTGGATATGATGATGTTGAGCCTAACACCACGTAGTGCTATTTTTTAGAGCAACCAAGTCTGCAGAGAACTCCTTATGTTATTTTTCCCTAATAAAAGAGAATTCTGTCTTCATTTCAGTGATGTTTTACATGTATCCCTTATATATAATAAATACTCTGAGCCTCAAAGACAAGTTTTGCTCTCTTAATGTGAGTACATTTACTCTCAGCAACCTCTGAAAATTCAGTGTTTGAACTGAATGGATCTCACATGGGATTTTCCACAATTCTGTCCCATAGTTACTTCCTTTAGATGGACAGATATTCATTCTTCTCATGAATATCATAAAACTGAAATGCAGTCCTGAACAAAGTTTTTCCCAAAAAAATTGCAAAAACTTTCTAAGTGGCTGTATATACAATAAATTTTTTCCACCCCAGACCATCTTCACATATTCCTATTTATTGGAATCAGAAAAGAGTAAGTAAGCAGACCAAGCATTGCAATTCTCTATGCTACAGGGTCATTATTCTCTACAGCCACTTCCAAAATTTAGTTATACACATGCAAGCAGAATGAATGTTTCCATATCTGCCTTCTGTGTAATATTAAATCAATATTGTCTTTACTATTTTTTGTGATTTCTCCCTTTTCCTTTATGAGTTTTTTATCTTTTTATTAGTGTTTTATTATACATGATAGGTTCATTTTAATATATATATATATATATATATATTCATATAATATAATTTGCTCCATTATGATCTCAAGTACTTCCACTTTCCCTCCTCTCCTCCCTTTCCCTTATTCCTGGTCACTACTCCACTGGTCTCCATTCTGTTTATTTATTGATTTTTAATTGGTGCTTTATAGATACTCAATTCACTGTGGTATGTTCGTATATGTACATAAAATAATTTGGTTAATTTCTTCCTGCATTTCTTCTTTTTCCCTGTCCCTCCTCCTTCCCCCTCAGTTCTCTTCCTCTACTCCACTGAACTCACTTCTTTTTTCTTGGGATACCCCCTTTATAAATTTCTTTATTTCCCTCTAGCTTCCCTATATGAGAGAAAACATTTGACTTTGACTTTCTGAATCTGACTTTCTCTATTCTTTTTTAATTTAAATATTATTTTAAAATAAAATATATATTCCTATCAATAATGTACATGAAATTATGAAAAAAAATCTATAATCATAAACCATATGTACAGTTATTTTTCAAAAACTTTCCATATACTTCTATAATTCAAAATTTGAACTTTAAAAAGTTCAAAGCCCTTAGCTTAGGCTATGAAGTGTCCACATTTGGAATTCTATCTTCATGTTGAGCCTCATTAGCTATACATTCAGTCTGTTTTAAGAATAATCAATAACAAACTGTTTTCTAAACATGTAAGATTCTTTTGCAAATATGTGTTTTATACATGTCTCTGGAATGGCCCTTGGTACTCTCCAGTACTCACCTTTTCCTACCCCATTTCTCCCAATTTTAATTGCATTGTTTTGGGGGATTTGAGGTGGGGCAGTGGGGGGATGCTTCTCATATCACTTATCAATTCAGTAAGTTAAATTGGATTAGTGTCATAATCAGACACTTAATGACTAGGAGTTCTATTGGACAATATTTACATATTATTTGTTTTGCAATGTTTAATATAATTGATTTTTAAGTGGATAAATTTCTCACTCCAGAAAATATATTTTTGTGTTTTATCACCTTTTTTAAATATATTTTTAGTCATACATGGACACAATACCTTCATTTTGTTGTTGTTGTTGTTTATTAATGTGGTGCTGAGAATCAAACCCAATGCCTCACATGTGAGGGGCAAGTGCTCTGCCACTGAGCCACAACCCCAGCCCCAGAACCTTTTTAATAGTGCATGTCTTAAATGTTCACCAACTCTTGCTATCACCATTCCTTATTCCAGAAATTACAAAACCAGAGTTGATTCTATCCCTGTGTCCTACATATTTCAAGTACATAGGACAGATAGGAATGACATGCACTCCAGCTAACACACAAAAAGCTATTAGAATCTAATTTTGAAACTAGAGTTTAAGACAAAACTTCATTCTCCACTTTTGCTGGCCAGTGGGGCCTGTGTAAGCTGCAGGCCTCGTGCAGCTGAGAAAGCCCATTTTAGTTTTAGCAACTAATTACAGCTTGGTGGAGCTGGCCAATCTTTTTTTTTTTCTTTTTTTAAAGAGAGAGTGTGAGAGAGAGAGAGTGAGAGAGAATTTTTTCAATATTTATTTATTTTAATTCTCAGCAGACACAACATCTTTGTTTGTATGTGGTGCTGAGGATCGAACCCGGGCCACACACATGCCAGGCGAGCACGCTACCACTTGAGCCACATCCCCAGCCCAGAACTGGCCAATCTTAACTCTTCTCTGCAACAACCAAATGGTATGTTACAGCTCCTGGTATTGGAGCTCTAAATGAGGGTATGCCCTACAGTGTTTCAATAGACTCGAGTAGCTCACTGCCAACTTCTCTCCATGTTCTTGTCTTACAAATCCTAAGAATGAGATTCATGGAACATGGAAGGTAAGAATGAAAAGAGTAGGACACAGGTAGGGGTTGCCAGCAGTGTGTGATAATCTAGAGATTTATACAGCACTTTAGGTCAATGCTATTGGTCCAAATTTATGCTAATCAGGATTTGGGAAAGCACTAATGCTGTGGTTAACTCTTGAGTCTGAACTTCCATTCAGACCTGCCCCCACTCCATTTTCTCACTGTTGGCCAGGAAACAGGAGTTTGAGGTCATTGGATAGTGGATGCTCAGGGATTCTGGCTACAGCCTGTGTGGAGCAGGCATCCAAATCAGGCCAGTCAGACCTCCATAGCATGATAGATCCATGTCCCCTGGCTCTCCTGTGCCCTGGCTTGCAGTGCCTTGGGTCCACACTGGTGTGGCACACACTACTACAGCCTTGGCCCATGTTCATAGCGCAGCTCCAGACCACTGGGCTACCTTTCCACAACTCATCATATCAACATTAATACAAAATCATTCATTGATGATCACAGACTTTTCAAAAACATCACTTTTTATCTTTTTATGAAAACTATTAGAGAAATTTACTTGGGTCTTTCCAAGTGGTAATAACTTTCTGGAGAAAATCTGAGTTTTAATTGTTGACAATTGTCCAAGCCACACTATACAGAATAAATTACCCATGTCAGAGAAGACCCTGTTTCCATGGAGAGGCATTAATATTGAAAAGAAATGAGCCTTGTCTATTAAAACAATCAGACTCTGAATAGAGCCTGAAAGAAGAAAAGTGAAGTCATTTGATTGAGATCCTGATTTTCTTACTCTAAAGAGAGCTGAAACATAACTTTGCATCAACTTCAGTGGGAGAGCTAAGTTACTGTCATTTCCCCCTCTGATCTAGGTCTATACAAACCCACTGATCCCAGCTAACTCTGTGCACCAGAGTAAGGTAGACGGATCTGAGACAATGGGGAAATATGGAGACAACCATATTCATTTCTCCTTTAAATGTAAACCCAGGAATATATAATTTACAAATCCAAGTCAAGAACATTTTTTGGGAAAAGAAAATGTAATGGAGATTGGCAGAATAAAATTTTTATACCTATTTCCTCCCAAGATATCAATGAAGAATATAACTATACAGAAATAAATTCCTCACTGTTTTCACAAGCGGCTATATGCATTATGTGTCAGGTCCCGAGTTAAAATGGCAGAGAGACTAAATGTTACTGAGAGATTATTAAATGAGGAGTTAATTTTTATTTCTTTTTGAGTAAAATCAGGATGGTTATTTGTGAATGGTCAAAAGTTAAGATTAAAAAATAGTATCCATTTAAAAATGTAAACAATTACATAACCACAATAAAAAATCTACTCACCACCGTGGAATCAATGTGGTGAAAGAAATGAACAAAGAAGTACATTTGTAAATGTGAACAATAGGAAAGTTTAATATTACACTTTGCCACTCAGTCATCTCCTCTATTAATAAGGGAAAAGTACTTCATTTCTTCTTTCATAGAAGCAGTGAAAATTGAACTTGAAAAATTACACCAAATTACAAGGAAAGTTTGCTCCTGCAACATCCCCGATGAAGCCCTCTAGTTGTCAATGCTAGGGAAGGGAAATCAACACATCCTCATGATGTGACAAACTCAGTCAAAACACAGTCAGGGGCTGGGGATGTGGCTCAAGCGGTAGCGCGCTCGCCTGGCATGCGTGTGGCCCGGGTTCGATCCTCAGCACCACATACCGACAAAGATGTTGTGTCCACCAAGAACTAAATAAATAAATAAATATTAAAAATTCTCTCTCTCTCTCTCTCTCTCTCTCTCTCTCTCTCTCTCTCTCTCTCCTCTCTCACTCTCTCTTTAAAAAAAAAAAAAACACAGTCAGACACCTAGGGTAGGTAAAAACCCAGTTATCACACAAACAGAACACATATGTGTCAAGACCAAGATGAATGACGAAGACTAGGATCTGCAATTGGCATTTTCTAGAACATAAAAATAAAACATTAACTTTAAATAAGATGTAAAATTTTTTATTTAAAAATGATATAAAAATAAGGCATGAATTATAGTGATAATAATTTGTGCTGCACCCCTCCCCTGACTCAGGCAAAGGCAAAGCCCTAATGAGATGGATGGCACAAGGCAGCCATCCTCTGGAGGAGCGCAGTATGTCTCTGGGAATGGACTGGTTTGTTTTTGTATTCTGTAAATAAGTATAGTTGCAACTTCTCATATGACCATTAAGTATGAAGGAAAAAAACTTGACTTTCCCAATTAATGCAACTACTTCTAAAGAATAAATCTGTTTGCTCTAAATGCAATGATTCAGCTATGAAACATAAATTGTTAATGTTTAATGAGGAAACCCCCTGTAGGAAAAACAGTCAAGGAAGTTTTTGAGAAATTAAATTAAAATCTAGAGAAGAAAAATTAATATTAAGAAGACAGATTAGTGCTTAGTACTGGACAACTTGTTCCTGTGCACAATGGTTTGGTGCTTTTACTCTTGTTTGATTAAAATTAGTAG